GATCTCTTGAGTTTTAGGTCAGCCAGAAGGACATAGTGAGACCCTGTCTTGGGTGAGTGGTCAGCCTGCATTTACACTAAGCCCTGTTTCTGTTGGCGCTGCCAAGTTCAGCCCTGAAAGAAAATGTGAAAGTGATTGGGTTGAGAACTTGGAAGTTGTTTTCTCTTCTCTGGGAGACCTGGTGCCCTTGGTATTTGTAAGTGGAATCTACAAGTTTATATTTAAGAGAACAGCTACATGACTGGATTGGGTATCAGCTGGAAGAAAAGTAACAGGCTTGCCTCTAACTACAGGAGTATAAGGTGCAGTGTTTGAAATAACGCATTTTTTCTTTTTTCTCTGCCATCCATTGGGAGTGGGAATCAGGGTGCCATAGGCTCCCTGAGTAAGGTGAGGGCCTTCCAGAAGTGCCACTTCACTGCCCTTGGGACCATTTGTGTGTATGAGGGGTAGGTAGGTATGCAGGATTTTTTGAGACAGGGTCCTACTTTGTAGCTCTGTCTAACCTGTAACTCAAAATGTAGCCTGAGTGCTGCCAGGATCACAGATTATAGGTGTGCCTGGAAGGTACATGTGTGAAGGTATGTGTTTTGAGGTAGACTTATGTAATCTAGACTGGACTTCCATTCCATGTGGCAGAGAATGACCTTGAAGTTCTCCATCTTACTTCCACCTTGGTAGTACTGAGGTTGTAGACACCTCAGGACCAATGGAGAACACCCTGAGGACATAGACCTGTGAAGACTTAAGCAAAGGGCTCCCCTCTGTTCATCTTCATCCCCCTTGGCTGTTGGGCTGGTGGTAGGCGGTGGAGTGGTCTGTTTATCTCTGACAGCCACTGGGCTGTCTCCTGCCTGCTTTCTGGGTTCCTTTGTTCATTAAACTATCACTTGCCCCATTTTCTTCTTCTGACTCATAGCTAGGACCAACTGCCTGTTTTCTGGAGATTACCATCCAGTCAAATATTTGATTTCCTACTGTGTGCTAAAGAAGATCCTCTCTCCTTGAACCCTCTGGGATTCCACTCCATCACACTCAGAGGAAGGATCCCCTGGTCTTTATGCTTGGGGGTGGGTCTCTTCAGTCCCCTATTTCAAGCTCCCTCCCCTACCACTTCTACACTGTCACCACTATCTGGGCAGGCCTCTTTGCATTGCATCACATCCAGGGTCTCTGGAGTAGAATTTAGCCCAACATTGTCAACCATCTGAAACTTGTTGGTCACCATCCTAATACCTCAGGGCTCTTGCCTGTGGCTGTTCTTGTTTCTCCTGCCTGCCTGCCTGCCTGCCTGCCTGCCTGCCTTCCTGCCTGCCTGCCTTTGAGAGTTGTTCTGGTTTGCCTTCTCTATTCCCTCTATTCCCCATTCTAACCACCTGCCTTCCCCAGTCACCATGTTCAAACAAGTTTCTGAACTCTTACATCATCCTCTCAGACAGAGCCTATACCCTCACTACCCCAAACCCAGCTTTCCCAGTTCCTCATAATTTGCCCCACACATGCTCTGTAATCATCCCTTGCCCTTCAGCTGCACCGGGCGCTTGAGTATCAGCTCCCCCGTAGTTTCTCCACTCCCATACCCTTTCCCGTGTACATACCTGTCTGCTTCTGATAGACTTGAGGACCTGCCTAATTCTGTCACCTGCTTTTTTCTGCCCTCTGGGTGGTAAGGTCATGAGTAGTCCCCCACTCTTGACCTAGTAGTGGATTTTGTGTGTGTAGTTGTGGGTGGATAGGGGGTGACATTTTTATCATAAGAAATATTTACTAGGTATAGTGGTACATTACTTTAATTTCAGTACTAGAGGGGCAGAAGCAAGTGGATCACTATGAGTTCAAGGCTAATCTGGCCTACATAGTAAGTTCCAAGTTAGTCAGGACTATACAGTGGAACCCTATCTCAAAACACATATATCCATATACATAAATACAATATTTGAGGCCTTAGGACTCTTTTATTCCCACATCTTTGGAAGTGAGAGTGCAAGTCCTGTTTGTTGTTCGTAAGGTATTTTCAGGGAGGGGCTGTGAAAAAGATCTCACTGTGTAGCCCTGCCTGGAACTTGGCCCAGTCTGGAACTTATAAACCAGGCTGGCCTTAAACTCGCAGATATCCACCTGCCTCTGCCTCCAAATGTTGGATTAAATGCATGCACCACCATGCCAATTCAAATTTCTTTTTAAAAACCTCTGATAGCTTGAAGCAAGAAAAAAACCCGTTCCTTTTCTTATCTTTAAAGGATGTATGCAAGAAAAAGTACCACGCTAGCTCAGTATTCAGTGCCTACTAATCACAGCCACATTCCCAATCCCACATGATTAGTGTTTGTATAGCTAATATATTCTTTGTCTAGACTGTTTATACATTGCAGTCTAAATGGGACAAGGGACAGCGTTCAGGGCATCTTAGCTTTAATTCATGGCCCCGATGTAAAATGCTTCCTAAAGACCTCCATAACCTTTTGTAGTTACAAAACAATCATGTTTAATAAGGCCACCTTCTAGGCTGCGATGTTAAAGTCTCAGGAGTTGATATGTGGAGGCATATTTAAACATCCGCTGAAGCTCTCTTGCAGCACCTTTAGATGGCCAGTGTATAGACTGACTGTTTTCCTCTAACAATCACCAAACATTCTGGAATCTCAGAATAAATGTGATGTGGACAAACTTGAATAAAGGAAGTGACAGGGCTGGCATTTGCCATTTCCCCCTTCCTTTCCAAGGGGGGGAAAAAGAGCCATATTTGGGAATATCATGCTTCAGGAGATTTTTAGAAATTGATTTGACTAATATGTATTGAGATATTGTCATGTATTCCTATGGTAGTTAATTAAATTCTACACGTCATCTCTTCACAAGAAAAGTGTAGGTTAGAAGTTCTGTTGTTACCACTGTTGTTACTTACTGTCTGGGTTCCTACCCGAAATTTGTGGCAGTAGTTATTAAAAAAAAAAAAAAAAAAAAAAAAAAAAAAAAAAAAGATGACAGGGGTGTAGATTAGTGGATGGAATCCAGTACCAGTAGATGGAATATAGTTCCAGGTACTGTATTTCATCCCTAGCACAAGGGAGGGGGGAAAAATTAAAAAAAAAAAACCCACAAAACAAAAAGGTGTTGCTATGTCAGCTAGGGTTGACATAGAACTCACTATGTATCCTAGGCTGGATTTGAACTTGGGTTCCTGCTGTCTCAGCATATGCCACCATGTTCCACTGTATATTTTAAATTTTTGTTCTGTTTATTTAATTATTAACTTCTATATTTGTGTATGCATGTCTATGAATATCTCTGTGTATCCTGGGACTTGATCTGCAGACCAGGTTAGCCTTGAACTCAGAGATCTACCTGCCTCTGCCTCCCAAGTGCTAAGATTAAAGTCAAGCACCGCCACACCTGGCATTTTTCCATTTGTTTGTTTAAGAAATTTTAGCTTTGGGCTGGAGAGATTACTCAGAGGTTAAGAGCACAGGCTGTTCTTCCAGAGGTCCTGAGTTCAATTCTCAGCAATCACATGGTGGCTCACAACCTCTCCTGACCTCCAGGGATACATGCAGGCAGAACACGGTATGCATAATAAATATTTTTTTACAAAAAAGGAAGAAAGAAATAAGCTTTATGCGTATGAATGTTTTTGCCTGTATGTGCACCTCATGTATGCCTGTTGTTCTCGGAGGCCAGAAGAGGAGTTGGATCCCTTAGAACTGGAGTTGTCAATGGTTGTGAGACACTATGTGGGTGCTAGGAACTGAACCTCAGTCCTCTACCAGAGCAGCAAGAGATGGTTCTAACAACTGAACCATCTCTTCAGCCCCTAGATAGGGCAACTTTTTTGGTTTTTCAAGACAGGGTTTCTCTGTGGCTTTGGAGGCTGTCCTGGAACTAGCTCTTGTAGACCAGGCTGGTCTCGAACTCACAGAGATCTGCCTGCCTCTGCCTCCCGAGTGCTGGGACTAAAGGCATGTGCCACCACCACCCAGCTTGATAGGACAATTTTTAGAAGTTGCTTCTCAATACCATGTGGGTCCTGGGAATAAAACTAAGGTCTTCTGGCTTGGTAGCAAGTACCTTTACCCACTGAGCCCCATCTCACTAGCCCCCACAATAATTTTAAATACACAGTTAGTAATATGTTATGCTTATTTTAAACTAGCTTCATCAATGCTTAAATTTACCAACTTGCTTTATTGGTTGATTTTTGCTTTTGCGGGCCTGAAGCTTAACTTAAGCCTAGGGCTTCGGGCATGCTTGGCCAACACTCTTAGCACAAAGCTACACCTCCTCTATTCCCAAATTGCATTTAAAAGAGACCTAGATTTAGCAATATTTTCCCAGTGTTTTGGCTGCTTTTTTTGTTTGAGGTAGGACCCAGTTTGAGCATGATCTCTGTCGGTGAGTAGAGTCGTAATGACTCATTTTCCTGCTTAGGAGATGCCCCTATCTTGTTGGTTTCATGGGCTGTTTCTCTCTATACACTGAAACTCATAAATAGTAAGCAAACTAAGTTACTTAGTTTGGACTACCTCCCCCTCCCATACCTTCAGGGAAGGCCATACTAGACTATTTTTATTCCTGCCTCAGGGCTTAAAAACAAAGGGCTATAACATAGTGACCCAAGAATACTAGAGAAAAGTACTATAGACCTGTCCTATCCAGTGCTATTGCCTCTGAGCATAACTAACCATTTAAAGTAGACTCATACAAAACTTTTAAAACTTTAGATAGCTGGCTTAGCAGGCAAAGGAGCCTCTTGCCTGAGGACCCGGGACTTTCTTAATTCTGCTGTTCATAGAAAGTCACATTCCACTGTATGGCCCATACTCCCTCCTGCATGAGGAATCTCCATCTTCTAACTGCTTTGTCATCCACTGTGTTACCTGAAACAGACAGCCCAGGGTCACTTTAAACGTTGCCCTGGCCACTGAGGCCTCTTTTTTTTTTTTTTTTTGAATCCAAAATGTGTTTATTTGGATGGTTCCCACACATCTTGAATCAGGTGCTTTTCAGTGCTGCTTCTTCCTGAAGGAGCATCCTTCTGTCAGCCTTGCTTTTCCACCTATGGGCTGACAGAGGACAGTAGAGCAGCCATCACATAAGACTACCGTTTGTGCATGTCTAAAGACCGTGGTGATTTTATAGCATCCTAGGCACTTCACATCCATAAAGTAGGAATTGGGGCTCTGCACCAGGCACTTTTTCTTGTGTTTCCTCTTTTCCTCTTCTGGAGAGGGATGAAGAAGATCCTTTGTGAGAGGCAGGTTTTCCCTACCAAGGCCTCTTTTCAGTTCTCCCTTTGTGATGCTCCATGCCTCCTCCCAACCAGTACCTCTTCATGTCTGTCCTTTATCATAGTTGCTTTGTAACTGGGGGTATATGTCTCTAGACATCTTTCTTTTTTTTAACTGCTGCCAAAAGTTTTTTAAAATATGGATATGATTAGTTCATCCTAGAGGGAAAAAAAAAGCTAGTCAGTGGGTTTCCACAGTGGCAGGCTAAAGTTCATCCCTTCCCAGATGGAACCTTGACCTCAGAATCATTCTGCCAGCCTCATCTTTGCCATTTCCCCTACTCCACTCTCCCTCTTTTCTCACAATGTGCTGTATGCTCTGGGGACTCCCAGAGGAGGTTTTTTCATAGGTCAGAAACAAAGCAAAAGGTTTGTAGTTAAATGCTGGTGTGGGTGCGGGTGCAGGGGTAGAGGAGTGGTGGTAATTTCTTTTGCCATGTAAGGGCATGAAAAAACAATCACAGTCACCTAATGTCCTTACCTTATATTAAGGAGCTTTTTAACCTTAAAGCAAATGTAATTAAATAAATACAAACAGATCGTGGGCTTCAGCATCTCACCAGAGAAGGCTAAAATGGCAGTGCTTAGGAACTCATGCTTTCTCCACTTGTGTTCTTGTTGCTAACATTTGGCCAAGAGCTGGGTCCTTTCTTCAAGCTGAGGTTTGCCTGTGCCCTACTGCCCTCATGCTCTGTGCCTCTTACCTCTGGTGAGCCCCAGAAAGTGTTTGGCTCATGGTCCACTTTCCCTTGGGTTGGAATTTTACTCTTCGTATCTGCTCTGTCTTCCCATCCTGTGAGCTAGGGGCTTTGTCACTTTGTGGTGCTTCTAGTGTCTGGAGCCTCAGTGGGCTCCAGTGTCTGCACATAGCAGGCTCAGGTTCTCTTCCCACCCAAGGCACAGAAACGGTGCAGTACATCTTCAGCAACGTTTGTTGTCTGATGTGATTGCCAGTACGGTTTGACTGCGAATTTGAGTTAGAACTAGTAATGCATTATTTTTATGATTTCCACATAAGGTAGGTAGAACTAGAATTGCTGGCTTATCTATGTCCCAAATTCTCATTCCATTCAAAATAAGACTTGGCTAGAATTTACAAAAATGTTGTTACCACAGTTAGTAGTCACTTGTATAGGAATCAGAAAGGATTTTTCTTCCCTTAGCCAGATCAGAGAATTATAGATTAACTATAGGGAATTTAAAAAATGGCACATTTAGGATTGTTTTGATTTTATTTTTGCATTTCTTAGTTTACTGTAAATACTGTTTCTGTGAATAGTCAGCCAATTGTGTAGTCAGCCAGACTTAGATTTGGTTTGATTTCCATTAATTGATTAGTTTTATTTTTTTTATTTAAATGTATCATAGTGGTGAGTGAGATCAGAGATTAACCTGAGGGGATCCAGTTCAGGTCAGCAGGCTTGGTGTCTTTGAAGGTTAAGCTGTCTTGACTGCCCTTGGTTTGGTGTTCTGAGAGTGCTAGAATTATAGACATGTGCCACCATACCAGCTATAGTTGTTTTCTTTAAAAAATATTGTCTCATTGGGATAATGCCACAATATGACCAGCTTCTAACATATCGGTGGAAGTGTGCTTACAACTTTAATTCAGTTACGCAACCACTGTTCTCTTGAATTGTATATTGACTTTTGCAGAAGTATGTATAGTTTAGTGGATTGTGGGTTTGCTTTTTTTTTTTTTCTCTCTCTCTCTCCAGAATTGTAATGAAGCATCTTTAAGAGCATTGAAGTTTTCTGCAGGTGTACTCAGTGAGTACTGTAGATACCATTGTTTTGTAAGTTTTCTGTTTTCTTTGTCTGTACAGGTTGTTCCTGACTTCATGGCTGGGAGCAAGTTGAGGGTGTTAAAGCTGTTTGCTGGTGGGGTTGAACCAGTTAGCTGGCTCCTGTTCTTTCATGATCTCTGACTGGCCAGGTCCTGTGGCTATGGGATGGAGGCCACATGGATGGCAATTAGGCCATGAATGAAATAGCATAGCTCTCCTGGGGGAGTCTTAAAGAAATACTGTCTGTTCTAGAATGTTGGCATTGAAAGTGGTCCTGGGAACTCAACTTATAATCTAGTTTGTCACTTGTCCCCCTACCCCCTTGTCCCTGGCCTGACTTAACCATCCTTATTGCATGTCTCCTCTCCCACTCAAGTCTCTTGTCTGAAATTATGAGAAGCTAAAGGTATTTAGACAACGAAGTGTCCCTTATTTTTTGATTATGGAGAGAAGAACCTTCATACTCTCAGAAAGGTGACAGCTACCATCTTGGCTTATCATTTTTTAAACCAATTACCATCATGTTCATTTACTGAATGCTAAGAAAAAAGGAACTCTTATCTCATGGTGGTCAGTGGCTGCTGTGCTCTGGGTGAATTCTCTCTGGTGAACCAGTGCATACATAAGTAACAAACACAGCTTTTGATTGGTGCACAAATCTTTGATTGGTGTTACCTAAATCTTGGGCTAAGCAGACAGGAGTGGCTTTGGAGACTAAACCGCAGTAGGCACTCTTTAACAGTTGAGTGGTAGGGCTGGGTGGGCTGATTGACAAGGGATCCAGTGCACTATTGGCCTTTGAGGGTGCACACGAGCATGTGCTTTTGGTTCCAGTGGCTAAAGACTAGTAGCACAGCTCTTCATTTCTGTGCCCATATTGCTCCTGCCAACATGGTGAACGTAACTAAGACCCGCCAGACATTCTGCAAGAAATGTGGTAAGCTCCATCCCCACAAAGTGACACAGTACAAGAAGGGCAGAGATTCTTTGTATGCCCAGGGTAAGTGGCATTATAAAAGGGAACAGAGTGGCTGTGGTGAATGGACTAAGCCTATTTTCTACAAAAAAAAGGCTAAAACTATAAAGATTGTGCTGGGGCTTGAGTGTTTTGAGCCCAACTGCAGATCTAAGAGGATGCTGGCTGTAAGAGATGCAAGCATTTTGAACTGGAAGGTGATAAGAAGAGAAAGGGCCAAGAGATCCAGTTCTAGGCTGATCTTGTTATGAAGACAATAAAACCATGAGCTTTTACTCAACAAACAAGCAAAAAGTAACACATGACCTGTTGTAAGAATAGTATTGTATGTAGGTGGGAATAATGGCTTACACCTGTAATGCCAGTACCCAAAAGGTTGAGACAGGAGGATCATGAATTCAAAGACAACCTGGTTTATACAACAAGATCCTTTCTTTAAAAAAAAAAAAAAAAAAAAAAAAAAAAAAACCTGTTTTAAAAAAAAAAACCTTTTTTTAAAAAAAAAAAAAAAAAAAAAAAAAAAGTAAGCTGTGCTTTATTCTAGCTCTTGTTACAGTTTGTACACCTTGATGGAGATAGCTATTGTGTTTGCTGTAGACACAGAAAATGCATAAGTGACCCAGAAACATGTTCTTTTCTTGGCCATGTCAGGCCTCTCCCACATTGAGGCTCAGGCAGATGAGATAGCTCAGTGGGTAAAGTCACCTGCCACCGAGCCTATTGGCCTGCGTTTTATTCCCAGGACTCACATAGTGGAACCAGAGAATGCAAGATGTCCTCTGACTCCAGACATGTGCCATGGGTAGTATGTGGCATATATGCCCACAAAATAAGTTAAAATGTAAAAACAATTGGAAGTGTGCTAATAGATTGCACTGCAAGTTTGTTGCTGAAGTGGATGTTGGGTAGGTGTTGCTTAGGCATTGCAATAGGCAGGAGAGGCAAGTATTTGAAACAAGTTAAACAGCCCCTCCAGGCTAGTGACAGGAAGTCCAGCCCTTGGCTTTGAGTGGTCAGTAGGAGATAAAAGTATGGACTGTTAGAGGCTTGGTCCCCTCCTATCACTGGATGGTAAACTGTGAAAGGAAGATAAAGAGAGTAGGGATGTTCTTTTTGAACTTCAGGAGAGCACCTTTATCACATGCTTGGTTTATGGTTATATTTCGAACTCTGCTTGAGACGCAGGACTGTGTTCCATAGATGTGAAAGCAATTCCACGTGTTATTGATTGAGAATGTGTAAATCACTTTGTACTTATGTAAATGGACCAAATCTGTGTGCTAGGGAGATTCTGCATGCTCAGTTATCTGTATCTTGGAATTGTCCAGCCACCCAGCCATGTCCCAGATGTCTGGGACCCTCGTGGGTCTGGGGGCAGGGCATGCCTTTCCTTTTAGCTGTGGGTTCAATGTTGGCCAAGTGGTTACTTAGATATGAAAGGGAGTTCAAGGAAGGGACCTGTCTCTCTGGGGTTATCTTCCCCTTCCGTTTTCTTTGTGTGCTTTGTAACACTTGGTGGGAATTCAGTTCTTTGTAAAGGCCCTGTCTGTTTAGGGTGGGGCTTGTAAGATGTGACCCGACATTTGAAAACCTGTGCACGTTCAGGACCTGATAGTGAACCAACCTAAAGCAAATGAACCTATGTACGTTTGTGACAGAGGCTTCTCTCAGAGCTGGTCAGGAGTGGAGAGCAGCCCTTCCCAACAGCAAGACCAAAACCTAATCCTGCCGCCCCACCGCTGGCTGTACAGTTGCCATGAGCTAATCACCCTCCCGGCTGTCAAGGCCAGGGCAGTGAGGACCAGAGCCCCAGACTTCCTTCAGTACTGAAATAATCTCCCCAAGCCTGGATATACACTGGGCTGAACTAGCCTGCTACTACTCAGACTATGCCACGATTTCCTGACACAGGGTCTCTTAGGAAGGACATGTCTTGCACCATAGTAGTCACATTTGACTTAGTTTAAGAAAAGCCATTTGCTTGCCAGTGATTTTTGGTTTGTACTGTGTATAAACACTTATCAGCTACTTATATCTTAGAGTATGTTTGCCTTCACACATGCAGTGGTGAATTCTTTTCTTAGAGGGAAAATTAGGGAGGTGGGGGCAGGAAAGACCATCTGTCCCATTCACTGGGCAGCCCATCAGGTCCCTGGGAGCTGGGGCACGTCACTTCTCCAGCATAGTCATTCTCAGCTGACAGTTGGT